ATGATCTTTAGGAGATATCAAATTATTAAATATCATATGTATTCTCTTTGATCAAGATGTTATATATAGGTTTCTTTGTTTATGCTAGCTAAACAATTACTAAGTAGATCAAACTCTTCATCTGTCCCATGTGGCCTCATACATGATACACCATGGTATATAAAAGGGTGTATTTTTGTTTTGTACAGAGTCAACGAAAAAAAATTACTAAATGTGAGTAAGACCAACAAAAATTTGCAGTATGTAATAATATCAAATGATTGAAAACATTTATTGTGGAATAATACATGGCATAGCAGAATAATATTTAATTCACAATAACAATTGACGGTCACAACGTCCATAATAGTACGACGCAATAGAGGAGCTGTATAGCGGTAAGACAAAATAGGCGTTTCACTATTACACAACGGTCAAAAGATTAGCAATTCAAAACAAACACGGAATAAAATACAAATTTATCAATGGCGACGTTACTCTATAAAAGCCAAGCATGCATTCTCTCTAATTCCGTTGGAGTTTCATTTTCTTCTTCCGGAAGCCTTTTTCCCGCCTTTTCTAGCTAGCTTTTCTTCACCCATCAATCAACGTATATATATAAATTCAATCTCTCATTTATATGTGGAGTATTAGTGGTTCTTGATTAAATTTTGTTAGCTTTGGTTTCAAATATGTTTCTTAAGAAATTAATCTTGATTTTAAAAACGGAAGAGCTGGCTAGGGATCATATCGGTTTGAAGGTTTAAAGTGGCTTCCGAATGATCTGGCTTTAGGAGTTAATTTAGTACAAATAACTTTTTAATTCATGTTGTGGTTACTAATACGAGGGTAGAATATAAAGTACTAGTGATGTTTTAAGCAATGAGGTAGTTTTCTATTATGTTGACTCATATGAATAATCTAGGAAATTTGTCTTCGTCTTTAGCTGAATTTCATAATGTGGTTTTCCGATTTCCAACTCTCACGTTTACGTTTTTCCAAGAAATATATCAATTCTATTGCAGTGATTTTCGAATGTAAGAGGTTTTGATTTTTAGGGTTTAACGTTATGTCACTTTGATTTTTCCTGTTAAGAATCTTGCACACGAGATGTTTGATTCATTGCTTTTGTGTTTGGATTGTAGGTTTGTGGCCGTAGATACTGTATTGTGCCAGAGAATGATCAGGCTCAAAAAACTGCAATAGCACTCAAGGATGAAGTGGCTAGTGTTTGGCTTGAGGTAAACAAAACCCTTGATGTGATTCGAGATACAGTTGATGAGGAATCTGTAGCTAAAGAAGCTGTTCAAAAGGCTACAATGGCGTTGGCTCTGGCTGAAGCAAGGCTTCAGGTTGTAGTGGAATCACTTGGAGCAGGTGGAGGCCCTGAAGCATCTGAAGAAACTGAGAAAAGAGATGATGTTAAGGACAAAGAATAAGCCACTTTAGCTGCTAAGGATGACATCAAAGAATGTCAAGTGAATTTAGCTAATTGTGAAGCCCAACTAAGTTGTTTGCAGAGCAAAAAAGAAGAGTTGCAGAAGGAAGTGGACAAGTTGAATAAGTTTGCTGGAACTATACAGATTAGTGCGTTGAAAGCCGAGGAAGATGTTGCTACTCAACGCGTTAACGATGGAGATATTGCTTTGCAAAGAGCAGAGAATGCTACTCTCGGTCAGCTGGTTGGAAAGAAGAAACGTAAGGGTTCACATTCACGGCAAAGACGAGAACAACGACGAAGACGAGAAGACACACCACCAATGGTTCCTGATTTAGATTTCCCAGAGAACAAACAAGAGATAGACTTGAATGATCCACGGGGACTTTCAATGGTAATGCCTTTAAGGTCTGGGGTTGGATAGTCAGGTGCTTGAAAGTTTGAAGGAAGAGACATCAGTGCTTCTCAACTCTGATCAGGCGGAAACATGTCTAGGAAACTGCAGAGACAGAATCCGTGAGGTGACGAGTACGATTACGGGAGATGGCGACTTTAGGCTCTCTGATTCTGATGATGGCACACTATTCTTACACTGGACACCTCGAAAACCAGGTTTAGAATTCTTATCCAATGAGGAAACTATTAAAGTTATCGAGATTGCCACAGGGTTCATCAGAGACCAACATATTCACCCTTTATGTTGGGCCTTCGTCTTGAATGATATGATCAGTTCTTCATTGGTGTTGCACGGGCTGGAAGATGAGTATGTTCCTTTAAGTCAAGTTTTTCTAGCTGAAAACATTTCTAAAGATAAATTCGGAGAATTGATCAGTGAAGATTCAGATTTAGAGGATTCCTCTACTCATAGTTGTTACGACGAGGTGATGTATAGTGCGTTGAGGGCTGCGAAAGACCTTGAAGGGGTACCACAAGCAACCAAGAAGGAATTAACAAGAGAATACAACTGCAACACAAGAGGGCCCGTTTCTTCTACTGAAAAGAAGTATGGCGGCATAACTGGTGTTTTTCGGTATGACACTTTAGAGGATGCTTTGGAGCGGTTAAAAACGCATCCAGTTGCAGCATCCTTATCTTGTTTTGGTGATTGGGAGGAAGAGGATATAATTACTGGGGAAGGGAGATTCAAGGGTGTACATGAAGTCCTCATGTTAGATTGCAGACTTTATAAAGGAACCGTAGTTGTGAGATGCAAATCGAGTACTGGTAGAGACACTGGTCATGATGGATACCTTTATGTCTCTCTGGAAGTAATGTTTACCAGAGTTGGCGGCACAAGAATGGTGGCTTTTTCGTGTCCTAAAAAGCCAGAGTATCTTCTCTCTGAGTTTTTCTCGATAGACATGCGTATGGGTGCAAATCCACAGTTTCAACAAACCGAAGAACAGAGAAAGAAAAATCTCAAATTTAAGATCAATTTTGAAAAGGAGGCGAAAGATCTCAAAGATGGATCTCGAAGCGCGATGTGTACTTCTGGTTCTTCTAGATATCTAGGTCAAACTTCAGGGATGGATGGAGCTGAGTTCGCCACAAAAGACCATGGTACTTGTTTTGCTCTCTGATTCTACATAAAACGACACGAATCCTACTAAATTGCGTTCGCTGTATAATGTATAATCATATCTCATTCTTGCTTGGCTTTTCTCCCATTTTCAATGTCTGCAGTTATACATGACTGCTTTGGAGAAGAATCATGTATCAAAGTTCCTTATCTGGGTGCTGTTTCATACTTGACGCTGGCTGTTCTTCTCAGTTGTGCCTTCATGTATGACATCCTCTGGGGTTTTGTGTCAAAATGGTGGTTCCGTGAAAGGGTGATTATTGTGGTAAGTTTTTTTCTTGTATTTCCTTCTGCTCCAGAAAACTGTTTTCATTCACTCAAGAAAATGCAAACTGTAGGCTGATACTTCTGCAAAATTATTAGGTCAATGAGGAAGAAGCTTCACTTTTGGATTTCTTGTGGTTACTGCTAGCAAGCGTCATATTTGTGCCTCTATTTCAGAAAATTCCTCGAGGTATGTAGGATTCATTTTTTGTTACTTTATATTCCTTGTTTTCCCTTTGCCTCAAACGCCTAGGAATTCTATGCTCTTATCAGTCAAAAACATTTTCAGTTACTGGTTTTGCAATCATGTTGCTTAGAGATTTTTGTGCTGTCTTGATGGCTTCATCTGCTGCTATGTATTTGGCAGCTGGAATTCTGATTGGTCCTTATGGTCTTTCAATAATTCGGAATGTGCACGCAACCAAGGCCATCACAGAATTTGGAGTTGTTTTCTTGCTTTTCAACATTAGCCTTGAGGTACTTTTTGATATATGTGTATCCTTCTTTTTCTTGAGTGCGGTTTACTTTTGTGTTTAATGCTAGTTTGTCAGATATATTCCTATATACTTAAGTATATCTAGGAAGTATCAGTGGTAGTTAAATGATGAGTATCTAACTGTTCTTATCAGATTGGATTTCAAGCCATTGCTGAAGCTCTTGGACTTGCTGGAGTCAAAGCAGTAGTTGCTATTACTGCCATAGTTTTTGGTGGCCGTCTTGTAAGTCTCAGATACTTTAACTGTTGATAAATTAATTATCAAGGTTGTAAGGTGAAATGTTTTAGATTTGCTACAAAAGGAAGACCATGTTTCCATGAACTTATCATGAAAGTTTAGTTTGCCTTGACTGCTGCTTTGGGTACTTTTCAAATGTTCCAATGGCGTTATAATCTAAGGCATTGATGATATATTTTTTGGCACACAGCTTGATCGGTCAATCTACAAGCAAGTTGCAGAAAATCGGAACGCCAATACACTTCTAGTGACTAGTTTACTGACAGCTATGGTACGACCTTGGTCTTGTTGGTTTTTCGCCATTTGCATTCTTTCTCTTTTGCTAAATTTGTTTGTTTCGATAACTCAGGCCGGGCTTTCCATGGCATTAGGAGCGTTCTTGGCTGGTCTACTCCTTGCAGAGACAGAATTTTCCTTGCGAGTAGAATCAGATATTGCTCCATATCGTGGTCTTCTAATGGGACTCTTCTTCATGACGGTAATTTTGAAATAACAATATCCATATAATCATCATTTCTGAAAAGAATCATGAAATTGTTGATGGGAACTCGTGAGATTCTGATATCGCTTTCATCTGTAATCACATGCATAAAACTAACAAAAAGAATTCCACTCATTTCAGGTTGGCATGTCTATTGATCCGAAACTTCTTCTCTCTAAATTCCCTGTCGTAATGGGAACTTTGGGGCTCTTGCTAGTGGGCAAGACTATCTTAGTCGTGAGCATGGGAAAGTTGTTCGGCATTTCAATCAGAGCCGGTCTTCTTCTGGCTCCAGGCGGAGAGTTTGCATTTGTTGCTTTCGGAGAAGCAGTCAATCAGGTTTGTTATCTAACTCAACAGCTTTCTCTTAAGCATACATATCTATAAACTGTTTTCTTTTCTCTATCTAATGCTCTAATTGGTGGTTCTACCAGGGTATAATGTCTCCTAAGTTGTCTTCGTTGCTGTTTCTTGTCGTGGGAATCTCAATGGCTATCACTCCTTGGTTAGCTGGTGGTGGCCAGTTTATTGCATCCCGATTGGAGTTGCATGATGTTCGAAGTTTATTGCCGGTTGAAAGTGAGGTAGGAATATTGACTTCAGTGCTGTTCCGAAGCTCACACATTCTTTGGTTCAGAAATTATTATAAGGCTATCTGATGCCTTAACCCTCTTTCTGTTGTCTTATTTTATTTGCAGGATCACATAATTATCTGTGGATTTGGACGAATTGGTCAGGTGTATACATCTGAACTTCTACAGTTTATGCTCTCACATGAGAACCTCTGTTTAGATAGTCTGTTTCACGGGACATCTCAGTATTTCTGACTTCTTCACCATATTCTATTTGTTACTTCCAGATAATTGCCCAGCTTCTTTCAGAAAGACTCATCCCATTTGTTGCCCTCGATGTCAGCAGGTAATTACAACGTCGTTTATTCATTTCCTAGTAAACCGATAATGTTGGCATTATCGGTAACTTCCACACACATTGAGATCACATTTTAACCTCTCTGATATAAAGTTCTTGTAGATTAGTCTATGTCCCATATCTCTTCCTCACATTCTTTGCATACCTGAAAACCTATATGTTATTTGCAGTGAAAGAGTGACTATAGCGCGTTCCTTGGATCTCCCTGTTTATTTTGGAGACGCTGGTAGTAGAGAGGTACACACACAAAAAAAGACGCTCAAGACAATTACAGATTATACCAGCGTTTGAACATTGTTACTTAACTTTTGCAAACAAACAGGTTCTCCACAAAATTGGAGCTGACAGAGCATGTGCTGCTGTGGTTGCGTTAGACGCTCCAGGAGCAAATTACAGATGTGTCTGGGCTTTGAGCAAGTATTACCCCAATGTCAAAACCTTTGTTCGTGCACACGACGTTGTTCATGGTCTTAATCTAGAAAAAGCCGGTGCTACTGCTGTAATGTTCACAAACCCCTTCACTCCACTCGATAAGACATACGCTTTCTTGATTGTACACTAATAAAGCTCGACATCAAAACTCATAGGTTGTCCCGGAGACTCTGGAGCCAAGTCTACAGTTGGCAGCTGCTGTTCTTGCTCAGGTAAAAACATAATGATTTCTTGTCAATGAGAGTAATATTAAGCAGAGAATTATCACAGTGTTGATCATTTTGTGGGATAAAAACTTCTCAGGTCAAATTACCGACATCAGAAATCGCAAACACGATCAACGAGTTCAGAACGCGTCACCTGTCTGAACTAACCGAGGTGCGAATCATTTAGATCAAATTCTTCATTTTTTAAAACCAGAATCTGGTTTGGTTTGATTGATTAGTATAGGGATATGGTGTAATGATCATTGGCAGCTATGTGAAGCTAACGGAAGCTCTCTAGGCTACGGTTTCTCGAGGACGACAAGTAAACCTAAACAGTCAGATTCATCTGACGATAACCAGATAATCGAGGGAGGCACACTCGCTATCTGATGACCATTTCTTGATTCTGGTAAGAACAAGAACAGTTTTATCTTCTTGTTGGTGGCCATATTTTTTTGTGGTAGGTTCTTTCATGGGAAATGGTATGCCCCTATAACCATCACCAACGTTTGTTCATGTTCAGTACATATCTCTCATTTGGGTTAAGACTCTGAGTAAATTCACAGTGGAGCAAACCACATTTGACATTTCCGTTCCATTGTCATATTTTGTATCTCTCATCTCTCTAATCGAAACAGTTTCTGATTAGCTTATCTCTCTGGTGAGATTCTTTTTACACAAAGC